TATACATATACATATACATATACATATACATATACATATACATATACATATATATATATATATATATATATATATGTTTGTGGGTGGGTGTGTGGGTGTATATGTATTTATATTTATATCTAGATATTTATTTGTACTTGGGCGCACTGACAATACCCTGATTGCAATCAAATTATATCCAAAGAAATTTATGAGAAATTGATTTATACTTCTGCCTGTGCAATTGTGACGCGTGTATTGTGCATTTGGTTGTTCTGGTTGTGGAGTTAGTTGTTCTAGTTGTATCCAAGTCTGTCATCGCGAATTGTAATACCACCCCTTGAGTGATACCTCAGAGCAACGAGATCCCATACCGGAAGTCTTGGAAGTACTCATTGTGTATTACGGCTACAAACTAAATGACGACACACGCCAACGCAGCACTGTTCGGTACATAGATTTACATACAATCCTCATTCTCATACACCTCCATCCTCCTTACACCTACACCTGGTATCGCCCACACAGCGAGAGTCCGTACCTGAAGCTCTGAAGAACATGTTGCTGGTTATGACCACGTCCGGTGTTCTCAGTAACCCCAACAGCTCAATGTTCAGCGACGCGGCAGGACCCCCCAGAGGCGTATCGTCGTCGCAGAGCGAAGAGTTCTGGCGATTGACGTGGGTCAGTGTGGGCAAGTACTTGCCGTCGCTAAGGACCGAACTGTTCCCGGAGGAAGCGGTATGTGTGTGTGTGTGAGGCATGGGTCCGAGTATATGGGGTATGTGGGGTTGAGTGTACGTCATACAAGGGGGATATGCACACACGTGTGTGTGTGTTTTTGTATCTAATTATGCAGAGGTACACATGCGAGCGTGTGTGTTAAAGTGTACGTGTGCAGAGGTACACGTCTCTCTCTCTCTCTCTCTCTGTGTATGTATGTATATATATATATGTGTGTGTATGTGTATATATATGTGTGTGTGTTTGAGTCTACGTATGGGGAAGTATCAGACACATGTGGGTGTGCATTTAGTGCGGATTGTTTCGGTGATTGATCGGGTTTAGTGTGGGCAGACAATATCTACCATTGCACAAGATACGAATTACTTCCCGATAGGTTAGAGTGCGTATTGCTGCAGATGTTGTCATGTATGGTTGCGTGTGTGTACATGCACGGTATGAACTGTATAGTCGTGTGTATTTGTATGTCGTATTAGTGAAAAGTCTTGGCGGTTGTTTTGAGTCTATATAGGAAATGCTGCTGTATTTTTCCGTGTTGTTGCATATAATGGGTTAGAGCTTTTAGAGTAGTATGGAAGTGTGCATAATGAACTTCGTAATTCGTGTAGTATATATATATATATATATATATATATATATATTGTCTTTTATACAAGGTTCTGAATTTTCTTCTAATTCATATGTATTACAATATTTCTATTGTGTCCACGGTTCTAAATTCTCGTTCAGTGCACGTTCCCCCTTGTAATTGTAGCATGACCGTGGTTCTCATATTGCCAGAGACTTGGTCTATATCATGTGCGTCGTATCACGGATCATATACATTCACAATGCTACTACATGGTACACATCACGGTAGTCGTACTGTACTGCCAATAAGTATATAAATGTCTATACATATACAGATGTGATGTGATATTCGATATTTTAAACGTTTTGCTCTACATCACTCGATCTTACCTACCTAGTTTACGCCACTCAAACCGTCCTCATCCACATCATTCGTTCTCATCCGCTTGGCCACATCACCTTAATTGTACTCATGCCCAGATGCACACAACAATATCTACACAGAATGCGCAACCCGCTACCACCGCAGATCTGGGTCCTCCGCCAGCCGCAGAGACCATACCACAGCCACAGACAGGTGTGTGTACATGTGAAGATAGTGCTTGTATCATGTGAACTGTGCTTGCACACGTTGCTTATCTTGTGAATAATATAGTACTCGTATGAAGTAATGTGTGTGTGTATGGTTTCATGGTGTATCCGCCGAATCGGCGTGTGTGCACATATCACCTTTTACTTGCGTAGCGTTGTGTGCGTGTGTATATGTATTTTGTATATCTGCCTAGGGCCGTGTGTATGTGTTTCTATGATTTCTGCCTGTGTTGCGTGTACGTCCATACAAATCCAACCCCTGCATAGAGTTGTAGTATACTTGTGTTTGCATACGTCCTTCAATACTTACAAGGGTCCCCGGTGTAGGTAACAAGATCAACATATCCAGATAGCATGCAGCTTAGGCATCTGTGGGTGTCTTTGTATATAGGTCTAAGGCAACTTGTGGTAGTTATAAGCTCAACATATCCAGATAGCATGCAGCTTAGGGATCTGTGGGTGTCTTTGTATATAGGTCTAAGGTAACTTGTGGTAGGTATAAGCTCAACATATCCAGTTAGCATGCAGCTTAGGCATCGGTGGGTGTCTTTGTATATAGGTCTAAGGCAACTTGTGGTAGGTATAAGCTCAACATATCCAGATAGTATGCAGCTTAGGGATCTGTGGGTGTCTTTGTATATAGGTCTAAGGCAACTTGTGCGCCCGCATCCCCTTTGCAGGAGATATTTTTCCAATTACACGGCGTAGCTGGTACTCGTGTGTGTATATTTAATTACACATATTCACACTAATTTTTGTTGGTGTGCTTTCAATAGGTGTGTATCATGCTTTCATGATAGTACACACGTGTACACAACCTATCAAAACTGGCCTGTACAAGTTTGTTCATAGTACATGCTTGTGTTACTGTCTGCTCATCTGCTACTGTGCCGTAGTGCAGCGTTACAAATTTGAACAACTAATGCAATTCCATACATTCTGCGAATTGTTTTTTGCAACTGGTTCTGAATTTGCGACATTTCCAGCGGGCCTACTTCGAGATCTGTTCCATTTATTTCGGCAGACCTGTTCTATTTATATCGGTAGATCTGTTCTATTTATATCCTGACTCCTGTCTGTACTCCCTTTCCCAGCATCCCCCGGAGCTTCGCCCGTGATGCTAGGTGCTTCAGACACCAACTCACAGCGCGGATCCCCATACACACAGCACTTGCAGTACGCTCCTCAGAACACACCCGCTTCACCAGTAGTCTTGCAGTACGCTCCTCAGAACACACCCGCTTCACCAGTAGTCAACTACACGCCCACACAACCACACACAGTGTCTGAGGCATCGGTTGGTGATGATAGTCATACACAAGCATACACACAAGCACAGGCACATCAGGCACAGCAGGCACAGCAATACGACCAGTTTGTTCAGCAACAGCAACAGCAACAGCAACAACAACAAATGCAACAGCAGGCTTATTACACACAGAGATATGAACAACAAACACAAACACAACCACAACAACAACCACAACAACAACAACAACAACAACAACAGGCACAGGCGCATCTGATGAACCAGCCACAGGGCGACCCCCAGCACCTGCAACCACAGCAGTACAAGCAGCACCAGCAGTCACCTCAGCAACAGGTGGGTGATGTCTCCGGTTGACGTGTAGCCTAGGCACAGCCACGTCTGGTACTTTCGTACGTCTTCATGTATTTGTGTTTATACATGCACTCACCACAGCAACAGGTGTGGTGTTTGTCTGGGTTGTGTGTTGTACAGTGTGTTCACGTACTGTCTATTCATATATATGTGCATGTATCTATTGCACCCATTGTCACCAAAGCAACAAGTGTGCAATGTCTCTGGGGTTTCTGTAGGTTTGTCTGGCACGCGTATTCACACGCCTCAGTAGAGTGGTCTCTGCGCGTGCAGGGGTGGGTGACGCATTAAGGAGGGTTTAGGTACAGTAGCATATATGGATCAGCATGAACCAAGCAATGTTAACTACGGAAGCAACCAGGTATCCACTGTGTTGTCTCTGTTGCATGGTCGTCTAGCTATCACGCTATTCGACTGGTTGTTACCCAGATGGTTCCAGTGGTGAGTTATGACCCAATATGTGCGCAAGTCATTCTTAGGCTAGCTATAGGCTCTAGCTAGCGGGGACGTACCCCTGCGGGTTATTCTTGAATAAACCAGGTTTTACACTCACTGACGGTGCAAACTGGTATCGTTCTTCATGCTACAGCTTTCAACCGACATACAATCGCCTGCGCAGCACAGTGCGTCGTTGGCCGAGAGCCTCAGCCAACCGCAGTTCTCTCCCCAGGCACAGCACTACAACACGGTGTCATACGACAGCAACAACAGCAACGACAACAACAACAACAACAACAACAACAACAACACCCCCGGGGGAACACCATACGCCCCCACCATGGAGCATACGCATGCTGACACACCCACACCGATGCATGTACACGCACCGTCTCCGATGAACATAGGTGACTATGAGCAGCAACAGCAGCAGCAACAGCAACAGCAGTATTATCCGCCGAACGGAGCCCAGCAATAAGTTGTATAGGTGTTAAGAAATGAGCTGGCTGTCTACGTGAATAAAACCAAACATTTGTATCTCGGTGGTCACCTGACCTTGTCTGATCATCTATAAACATATCGGTGTAGTGTATATTGGCACACAAGCATACTTTTGAAAATCGGGAGGTGGTTCTACAGTATCTATCTGATATACATACATGGATGGGTGTGCCCGCGCACCCACCCTTGGGCTTTCGCTATATGCTGACAATTCTGATATCTGTCGCACGAGATTCAAGCGATCTTTCTTGTCGTGACCGTGTGGTGTCATGCTACCGGATAAACTTTTCCCAAGTTGTCGCGGCAATGGTCTCTAAGTAAGTACACCAACACAAGCGGAGTGATGGACGTTGCATAACATTGTGGGCCGTCATTTAATTGTAACACTGAGAAGCAATTGCATATACACACACACATATATATAAATGATAGACATTGTTGTATTGCGCTATTGGCAATCTCATACATACATACATATGTATATATACATATATATTCAAGTATAATATATATACATATGAATATATATAAATAAATTTTATATATATATATATATATATATATGTATATTATATACATATATATATATAAATATATACATATACAATATATACATACATGTCTATATACAATATATATATATATGTCTGTTTGAATGTATGAATGTATATATGTATATCTTTATACATACATACATAAATACATTCTTACGTACATACATACAGACATATATATATATACATATATACATACATACATATACATACATACATATATATATATATGTATTAATACGTCAGTTTTTGAGTATATGTGTGTATATTTGGATATGTATATATATTTGTATATAT